TTCTGTACAGCAAGGGAAACAATCAACAAAGTAAAAAAGCAACCCACAGAGTGGGAGAAGATCTTTGCACACGATATAGGCGATAGGGGGCTAATTTCCAGGATATACAAAGAACTTCAAAACAACCAAAAAACCAAAACGAACAAGCCACTCAAGAAATGGGCACGGGAAATGGGCAAACATTTCACAAAGGAACAAGTCCAAATGGCAAACAAACATATGAAAAAATGTTCTAGCTCCCTAGCAATAAGGGAAATCCAAATTAAAACATCGATGAGGTACCACCTAACACCAGCAAGATTGGCCCACATAAACAAGAACACCAACGACGCTTGCTGGCGAGGATGCGGGGAAAAGGGAACCCTACTCCACTGCTGGTGGAGCTGCAAATTGGTACAGCCTCTATGGAAATCAGTCTGGAGAACACTCAAACAACTCAAAATCTGCATACCATATGACCCAGCAATAGCACTCCTAGGAATATATCCAAAACACCTGTTTTACGACAAACCAACATGCATCCCTATGTTCATTGCAGCACAATCAGTAATTGCAAAAACATGGAAGCAACCGAAATGCCCATCAGCAGAAGATTGGATAAGAAAGCTTTGGTTCATCTACTCCATGGAATACTACTCAGCTATTAAAAAAAACAAAATGCAGTTCTTTGTGGCTAAATGGGCACAACTGGAAACTATAATGCTAAGGGAAATGAGTGAATCACAAGAGATTAGATACCACATGTTTGCCTTGATTTAACCTGTAATTTTTGTATGGTTGTTTGTTATTTTTTGAACCTGTCATTGATACTGTCTCAACCCAGAGGTTTCGAAGAATGGAACTTGCATTATTTTTAACATATTGTTTACCCAATACTATGTCAATTAATTCCATAATGTTGTATATTGATATTGAGGCCTTGTTGGGGCTTTTAACTGACCGGATCTTTACTCTGTTAGACCTATCTTCAGACCATAGAAGGTCTCCCCAAGAGGCCACTGAACTTATCTGGACAATAAGACGCTGAACTTTATGCTAGGCATGTGTTTGCAAGCAATGAATCTCAACTGAACTTGAACTATGGTTATGCAACAAGGTGGAGGAATCCACCATGGGGGGAGGGGTATGGGAGGGGTGGGGGGAATCCCCAGCGCCTATAAAACTGTACTACATAATACAATGTAAGCAACAATAAAAAAAAAAAGAAAAAAAAAAGTAAAGCATGCCTTCGTTGTTCAGAGCGATTTTAAGTACAGAAACAGAGGGAACCCCTATGTCTACTTGCTGAAAATAAAAATTGCTCAGCCATATTTATTTCCGTCGCACCTCCCGGGGACCACGGCAGGAAAGGCTGCTGGCATGAGCAAATTCAGTCTTGAACGTAACAATCTGCTTCTAGTGTCAGAGTCAGTGTGGGCCCAGAGAGAGCACAGACATCTAATCCTGTATTCCAGACGGGAAAGCACCTTTTCCCCAGAAGCCTCCCCCAGTTACATCCTCAAACACACACATGAAATTGACCTTGGACAATTTCCTAAACTTCTGTATTTTTCTCCCTGCAGAACAGAGTTCTGTTAAATATGTAGTTAATATATATAGTTAAATATATAACAGTAGGCCAGCAGGTGCGAAAACATATGCTAACCTCGTAGCATGATACCAGAAAGTAATTTCATCAGCAATGGGAGTTCTCTTGTGTTCCTCTTCCATTATTATTATTATTATTATTATTATTATTATTATTACTGCTGTGCTCTCCTAGGAAATAAAGCTCTTTCATAGCCTGAGCCCCTCCTCTTCACATTCACACTCGGCTATACCTAAAGGCTCAAATTCAGTCACATGGCTTGCTAGCATCACACCTGCTACACCAAACAAAATGAAAAGTGATGTATCACAGATCTTTTGTGCGTTAGTTCCTATCTGACTTACTGCATCACTGCATAGGAGTGTGCAGAGGGGACAGCACACTGACCTATGCAATCTTGGATTTGTGTGCTATCAGAATTGTCCAGCAGATGGTAGCAGTGAACCCTGAGGGAGAGTGTTGTTTATGGCCATACCACCGTGAAAGTGCCTGATCTGGTCTGATCTTGGAAGCTAAGCAGGGTCGCGCCTGGTTAGTACTTGGAGGGGAAATCAATGCAGTCTTAACAGGCAGTGTCAAAACTGGAGACCAAACTGTACTCATTTTGCCTGTTACTAGCATCAAAGTGCTCCTAACACACACACACACACATGCACACACAACTTTTTCATATCTGTCAAAATGATAATAAATGTCTTATGAAGGTGGTTGAGGGTTTGGTATAGCAGGCAAGCCTCCAACTGGGATGGCCACATTTTATATTGCAAGCCTGATTTCAACTCCAGTCTCTGCACCCAGTCCTAACATCCTTCTGGAAGGATGGGTGGTGGCTTCCTGAAGCCCACATAAAAAACCCAGATCGGATTCCAGATCCTGTGTCAGCCTGTCCCAGGCTTGGTTGTTGTGAATATTTGGGAAGTAAACCAGCAAATAGGAGAGATCTGCCTCTCTTCACTCCTCTCCTCTCCTTTCCCCTCCTCTCCATTTGCCTTCCCTTTCCTCCCCTGATTTATTGTTCTCTTTCTCAAGTTAATACAAAAAATTCTGCCAAGATATTATAAAGAAATAAAACCAAAGTATTATAAATAAATAATTTAATATGTCAAATAAAAATACGGTGGAAATCCTTAACAGAAACCTCTGAGGCAGAAGAAAGAATACTTGAGCTAGAACAGATCTTTGGAAACACATCAGATGAAATAGAGAAGAAAAATGAGGATCACTGGAAATAGTGTTCAAGACTTACGGAATATGGTTAATGGTCTAACATACATGGTCTTAGGCGATTCTCAATGTGTGAAAAGAGATACAGGGATTAGAAGGCCTAGCATGTGAAAACTTAGCAGAAAACTTCCCTAATTTGGACAAAAATAAGAACATTCAGGTACAGGAAGAACATTGAACTCCTGATACACATAACCAGAAAAGACCTTCACCACAATACATTACTTCAATACAATGCAATGCTGTCGAACTTTCAACAGTAAACTGTAAAGATCCTAAGGTCTGTCCAAGAGGAATGCCAGATCCTCCAGGGGCTCTCCAATCAGACAAAGCTGATCCTCATTAGAAATCCTATCGAGTGGGGGAGAAGCAGTCCAAGGACTTAAAGAAATAAACTGTTGGGCACGGCGGCGTGGCCTAGCAGCTAAAGTCCTCACCTTCAGTGCAGCGGGATCCCATATGGGCGCCTGTTCTAATACCGGCAGCTCCACTTCCCATCCAGCTCCCTGCTTGTGGCCTGGGAAAGCAGTAGAGGACGGCCCAAAGCCTTGGGACCCTGCACCCATGTGGGATACCTGGAAGAAGTTCCTGGCTCCTGGCTTCGGATCTGCATAGCATTGGCTGTTGCACTCACTTGGGGAGTGAATCATCGGACAGAAGATCTTCCTCTCTGTCTCTCCTCTCTGTATATCTCACTTTCCAATAAATAAATAAAATCTTAAAAAAAAAGAAATAGTTAACTCACAATACTGTGCCCAGCAAGCTTTTATTTAAAAAGGTGAAATAAGAGCTCTCAAAAGATATTAAGAGAATTTGTCACCCTTTGTCCAGCCTTATATTTAAGTATGTGCCACACCCAGAAACAGAGAACGATAATTATTATTATGAAAGAATGTGAAGGCATAAAATCTCCCAATAAACATATGAAGTAAATCCAAATCAAGCATTTGTGGGAATTGGCAGGGCCAAAGTCATTACTTATCAATTACAGCTTAGAAGGTAAATGGCCTAAATTCTCCTACTAAAAGATGTGGAATGATAAGAATGAACAAATGGAGAGAAGATGGGAGCGTTTCCATTAAGGTCCAGAACCAGACCAGGACACTCACTCTGGCCATTGCTATTCAATGCAATTCTGGAAGTTGTGCTAGCATCTAGCAGTAGAGGCCAGAGGTGCTGCTACATGTTTTTACAATAGAAAGTTTCTCCAGAGAATAACTGGGCCCAAAATGCCAGTAGAGCCAACAGTTAAAAGATCATGATTGTCAAAAACTACGAAATTCTGAAGGAAATATTTATAAACACTCTTTGAGGCTTTGTGTAGCCATGTACCTTCATAACTTAGTGGTTAAAGTCATAATTTTTATAGGAACATAAAGGACTAACTTGAAAATTTGCTTTAATTAATATTTATTTAACCAAGAATTAGTTTTGCTTATCTGACTGCAGTCTAAAACATCCTCTGTTTAAGTGACGCTATCTTTGGTGTACTAAAATTCTAAATTTTCTCATCTTTCTCTTACATACATATATTATATGTTAATGAGGTTGGTTGTGAAATCATTTAACATTTACCAAAACAGCACATTATACTCCATAGATGTACACCATAGAATAGAGACTGTATAGAGACCTATACAGTCAATAAAGAATTTAGTAATTTATCAAGATATAGTTGATACTATCATGAAATGAAATAAAATGAAAAATTAACTACTGATTTTTTTTGCTATAAAGACATATGATTAAACAATGTCAGACAAGTCCTCAGCTCAAAGTGGAAAACTCTTTTGGAAAGAGAAGGGGAGCACGTTCCAGTAAGAACAACCATACCTGGAGACAAGCTAGTGGAGTTTGCTTCTTTTCCCTGCCATTTAACATTTATGCTCTCTGCTTCAGCTCTATTGAATTGTTGAAAGGACAAATACTCCTTTGTGTCAAAATAAGCCACTTCTACAGTGCCATGATTATAGTCATTATTCTATAATTTTGAGTTCCTTAAGGTCTGGTAAGCATAGATGCAGGGACTTTGTTTCGTAAACACCATCTTTTGATTTTGACTTCGAGTTGATAAATGGATGCAGAGGAGTATTAGTCTTCTAGATGACTTCGCCTCTCACCAGGCAGCTGGGTGGGCTCTAGAATTCTACGATTCTATGACTCATGACTGTGGTTCTGTGGTTCTAGTGCTGAGTGCAGCAATAGCTAAGGGCTCCATGTAACACTGGTGGAGAAACAGACCATGATCTTCACTGCAATCTTCACACGCTGATTCTCTTAATGGAGTTCTACCACTGAGTCATGGAGTTATCAACCGAGGCGAAAAGAGCCATTGCCTTGAAACCATCACAGACTGTATTGACTGCGTTTCCCTACAGACCTCACAGTACTCTGCTGGACCTGCTGAGGGGAGAACCCAAAGTCTTGGGGGTAAGTCCTTTCCTGTTGCAAGTGTTCCTGGAGGGAAGAAAACTAGTTATGTATCCATGTATCCAGGAGAGGAGAAACATGAAACTGGCATAAAACTTCTAGACATCTCATTGAGAAGGTGACTTCAGTGTCTGGTAGAAACTCCTTCAGACTTAAAAAGACATTCAAGATGTTTAATGTTTCCTTTGTGATATTTCACCCAATCGTTCTTTGAAAACTCTATCTAAGCTTACATAGTGAAGAGATAGTAAGCATTATTTATTATTTTTAATATATGTAGGAAAGAGTTACATAAACAATTCCCAGGCTTGACATCACAGTAAAATCACTCCTGTGGTATGGTGCCACAAAGGTGTGGCTCAGGGACACATCAGAGAAGAGTCACTGGCCCTGTACGCCTGTAGAAAGAGGAGGAAAGCAACTTTGGGTTATCTGCCTCTCGAGGAAGGCCTTTGGATAAATTGACAGCTTAAACCTCACCTCAGTCTCTCCACACTTGATTCTAAAAGCTGCTACAGTTGCCCCTCCATATCTGTTCACCACACACACACACGCACACACACACACACAGATTCAACCAATCATTCCTTGGTGGATGATGTTAAAACACTGCCTTTGGGGCCCGGCACGATGACCTAGCAGCTAAAGTCCTCACCTTGAACACCCTGGATCCCATTTGGGCACCGGTTCTAATCTTGGCAGCTCTACTTCCCATCCAGCTCTCTGTGGCCTGGGAAAGCAGTCGAGGACGGCCCAAAGCCTTAGGACCCTGCACCCGTGTGGGATACCCGGAGGAAGTTACTGGCTCTTGCCTTCAGATAGGCGCAGCACCGGCCGTTGCGGTCACTTGGGGAGTGAGTCGTCGGATGAAAGATCTTCCTCTCTGTCTCTCTTCCTCTCTGTATACCTAACTCTGCAATAAAAATAAATAACAATAATAAAAAACCTTTTTTTTTAAAAAAAAAAACTGCCTTTGCACAGAATATGTGCAGACCTCTTCTCTTGCCATTATATCCTAAACAGTATAAGCTGACAATGATCTACAGAGCATTTACTCTGTATTAGGTGTTATAAGTAATCTGAAAATATTAAATAGACAGGACATTGTGCACAAACTATACAGAAATGTCATGACATTTTCAATGCGATTTGCATCCAAAGAATTTGGTATACTCAGGCATCCTTGAACTACCACCACAACCCATGTAGGTCTGGAGGGATGACTTTCAAATGAGGAAAACAGGAGAGGTGGGTATAGTATCTGGATTTTTATTATTATGATGAGCAATTACTTAAGCAATTTATGAAAGAAAGTGATTTATTTGGTTCATGGTTTTTTAAGTTTACAATCCAAGACCAGGTGGCTCCACTTATTTGAGCATCTGATAGTGTTGTACTTGCTGGCAAAGTAAGGATATTGTACTGAACATCTCACAGTGAAAAGGTGGATATGCTGATGAAGTCTCTCATGGGATCCAGGATGCAGAGAAACAGTGACTCGTTGGGCCCAACTCAATTTTTTTCATGTGATAGGCAGGAAAATGGAGAGGAAGATACACTGTGAGTTTTTCTAACCAATGGTTCACTCCTCAAACGCTCATAACAACTGGAGTTGGAAGTGCAGTCCAGGTCTACCACGTGATGGCATATTCCCAAGTACTTGAACCATCACTGCTGCCTCACAAGGTCTACATCAGCAGGGATCTGAAACTGGGATCTGGAGGCAGACACTGAATAGGTCGATGGGAAATGGTTGTCCTAACTAGTGACTAAAAGCTTTTACAGCCAACTCCCTCATGAGAGTAAATGCTCAAGGGTGTATCTCCAATGAGCTACGATGCTTATTGTAGAGCACAGAAATGTATGCTAGATAATACAGTGTAGTTCCTATCCTTAGAAACTTACAATTGATAGGATGACTATTACTGTATTTTGTCTGATATAAGGCAAATTGGTAATACCAGGGAATATAGAAAACCATAAAGATAAGAAATGAAGGGTTGGAGCCTAATAGACTCAGGAAAGTGATGAAGGGGAAAAGCACACTTGAACTGAGCTTCTTGACAGTCACGGATGGCAGGTGGAAGAGGAGGGCACTTGGGTTGAGGGGAGAGTGTGTCATGCACATAGAGCATCCCCAGGACGGGGGCATCTCTAACCTTGTGCACTGCTTTCTCTCCCGCAGGCTGTCCAGATCCTGCTTGCTCTGAGCATCTTGGGCATTGGGATTATATTTCTACTTAGTTATATCAGTTTCTCCATTGAATTCCCTGTCGTCTTCCTCACAGGATACCCATTCTGGGGAGCACTGATCGTGAGTACTCTTTATTAGCTCTTGAAGAATTGCTGTGAAACCTGCTTTGAATTGCCACATGTCTTAGAATAATAAATTCCATAAATATGACCCTTCCTCCCAAGAAATCACATAAAGGTCCCCCCCCCACAGCAAAATACACAATTCTGTTGGGTCACTGCACTTCTGTATTCATAGTAGAAAGTGTTCCCAGATTTGCTGCACTTCAAAGTCCCTGAAGCCCTGGTATGTGCAGCAAGTTCTCTGCTCCTTACTGCCTTTGTGGGAATTAAATGGACAACTATCCTGCTTTCTCCTTTGCCAATAGAAAGAGTAAGTTTGGGATCAGACACTGATTTAAGTATGTCTAGCTAACACTGATAAAGTCATATATTTTCATAGCTTAAGGAGGACTCTCACATCTTTTACAAACAATTCCATTCTTGTTATCAGAAACAATTTAATGAGTGTCACTTAGTTAAGTAATAATAGAGTCTTAAATATAATACTCAGTCCAGGACTATTTCCATCCAATCCTTCACAGCTTTGGCTTCGAATGTTACTGATACTTAAGAGATTATTTCTTAGCCCTCCCTCTACTAAAACATGTACTCACAAAAGGGTGACTATATTGCCTGTTTAACCTGATTTTATATCCTCAGAACACAAAAGCATTTTATGCCTAAATTAATGGATGATTCAGTGAATGACAGAATCAATCAATGAGTTTAGTAATGAATACAGAGGTAGAGAGAACAGTACACCATTGAGGAATAGTTAGGCATAGAACTGATAGGATTTGGAGATCTAATGTTGTGAATGAGGCAGAAGCAGGCATCAAAGATAACTTCCCAACTTCTAATTGTAAATATGAGGTCCTTAGACTTCAAGACCTTGGAGTTGGGAAAGCAAGATGATGAAATAGGGTAAAGATGTGTTAAAATGGACAGAGACAGATTAGCTGAGAAGTTCCAGAAAGGGAGTAACAGATTATGTTAACCTCAGAGTTAACTGAGAAAGACATTGAGGCATGGGCAGATAAACAATTTTCAAAAATTATTATAAAACTCCTTAAAAAACAACCAGAAGCACATACAGGAATTCAAGGAACTTAAGGAATACATGACATAGGAAATAGCAACATTAAAACAAACTCAAGCTGAATTATTAGAGAGCAATAATACAACAAAGCAATTTAAAAAGTCAATGGAGACTGCTATATCTACTAACATGTGATTTAACTTAATGGCATTGTAAATTTCTATTTTTTTTCCTATTTTTGATTTTGTAATATGACTTTTCATTTGAGGGGGATGTATAGTAGCTGTGAAAGGGAGACTAACATATCCAGATGTGAGGATACAACGTAGTATGCATTTCTACTTCCAGACAAAGATAAACTTACATTGAAACTATTCACTATATTTTGACAATAGGATGCTGGACTCTCTGCCATTGTCCATGCTTGCAATGATGGACATATGACTGTGTATGAAGAACTATACTTTAGTAATGATATAGAGGAACTAGGTGGGGGTGGGAATTGGGGTTGGGATAAGGGAAATATCAGGAGCCTATGGAACTGTATCATAAAATAATAATCATCATAATTAAAAATTTAAAAATTAAAAAACTGAACCTAAAAAAGAAATAAAATTTGATATATCTCTGCAAAGTAAAAGTATTACAATAAGGATGACTTCTGAACAACAACAACAACAAAATTCAATGCAAAACCTCAATAATAGAATGAATGAGGCAGGAGAAAGAATCTCAGAACTGGAAGACACCTTCTGCAATCATACTGAAACAGTCAGAATGCTGAAAGAAGAACTGAATCAAGCAAAGAAAAATATCCAAGAATTGACACCATCAGAAGGCCCAACATTAGAGTTATGGGAGTTCCTGAAGGCATGGAAAGGGAAACAGGGTAAAAGACATGCTCAGTAAAATAATAACTGAGAACTTCCTACTGTGGAAAAAGAATTGGGAAACAAAATACAAACTTGGAAAAAAATTGACCAAAAGCAATCCTTACCACAGCACATCATTATTCAGGGATTCATTCAACAAGAAAAAAAAAATCACCATTATAAATGCATATGCATCAAATGCCAGAGCACCTATCTATGTGAAACAAATATTGATGGAATTAAATAGAGAAATAGACTCCAATACAATAATAGTGTGTGTGTGTGTGTGTGTGTGTGTTGTCCATTAATAGCCCACTAACATCAATGGCCAGATCAATGAGATAGAAACTCAGCAAGGGAACAACAGAGCTCCTTCAGACAATAGAGCAAATGAACTTAATTGGTATCCATACAATCTTTTAACCTACAGACACAGAATACACCATTTTATCTTTCACCAGTACATGGGCTCATCTTCAGGACTGATTGCATTATCAGCTACAAAATAAGCCTCAGCAAATTTGAAAAATCAAAATTATGGTGTGCATCTTCTCAGACCATCATGAAGTGAAACTGGAGACCAACATGTCAAAATACCCCAGAAGACATGCAAATTCTTGGAGGCTTAAGAACATGCTGTTAACTGAACAATGAGTTATAGAAGGAATCAAAGAGGAATTGAAAAAAAATTCTTGAAATAGATTCTCCACTAGCCCAACTAAATAAAAAAGAGAGAGGGGAAAGGTACAAATCAATGGAATTGAAGTTTTTTTTTTAAAAAAGGAGTATAACAATGGATACCTCAGACATAAATAATAAAAAAAAAATCAGCAACTATTGCAAGCCAACAAATGAGAAGACCTAAAATAAATGGATATATATTTGGATGCAAATTTACCAAAATTGAGTCATGAGGTAATTAAAAATCTCAATAGACCTATAACCAGGATGGAAATTGAATCAGTTATTAAATCCGAACAAAGAAGAGCCCAAGACCAGACGGCTTCACTCCTGAATTCTACCAAATGTTTCAAGAACTTACCCCAATCCTCCACAAGCTATTCAAAAAATAGAAATGGAGGAAACCCAATCAAACTGATTTTTATGAAGCCAACATCACCTTAATATCAAAACCCAATAGAGACATAACAGAGAAAGAGAACTACAAACCTTTATCTCTTTTGAACATAGATGCAAAAAATTTCAGCAAAATATTGGCCAACAAAATCTAACACATCAGGCAGATAATTAACTCACACTAGATGGATATATTCCTGGAATACAGGCACAATTTAATATACTCAAATCTACCAATGTAATTCACTGCATCAACAAAATGAAGAATAAAGCCATATAATCAACTCAATAGATGCAGAGAAGTTATTTTACAAAATCCAACATCACTTCATGCTAAAAATCTTAAGCAAGACAGGCACAGAAGGAGCATTCTACAACACAATCCAGTTGTCAAATTCATACTCAATGGGGAAAATACTGGAAGTTTTTTTAAACTAAGATCTGGATCAGAACAAAGATGTCAACTTTCACCACTGCTCTTCAGCATGGTGTTGGACGTCTTCTCTAGCACTATTAGGTAAGAAAAAGAAGTTGAAGGAATTCAAATTAGAAATAAGATTTAAACTAATCCCTGTTGGCAGACGACATTACTCGATGCATAGGAGAACCAAAATAAATACATCAAGAAACTATTGCAATTCATAAGAGAGTTTGGCAGTGTATCAGAGGACAAAATCACTGCTCATAAATTGATAGTTCTAGTAAACAAAACAACTCTGTGGCTGAGAAAGAACTTACAACTACAGTCCTTTTTAAAATAGCAGAAAAGGGGCCCGGCGCGGTGGCGCAAGTGGTTAAGGGCCTTGCACGCCCGGGATCCCATATGGGCGCTGGTTCTATCCCGGCAGCCCCGCTTCCCATCCAGCTCCCTGTCTGTGGCCTGGGAAAGCAGTCGAGGACCGCCCAAAGCTTTGGGACCCTGTACCCGCGTGGGAGACCCAGAAGAGGCTCCTGGCTTCGGATCGGCATAGTTTCAGCCCGTTGCACTAACTTGGGGAGTGAATCATTGGACGGAAGATCTTCCTCTCTGTCTCTCCTCTCTGTATATCCACCTTTCCAATAAAAAAATAATAAAAATAAATCTTAAAAAAAATAGCAGAAAAGAATCTTAAATATCTGGGAATAAACCTAAGGAAGATATGGAAGACCTCTCTGTTTAAATTACAAAGCATTAAAAACAGAAATAGAAAAAGACACTAACAGATGAAGAAATTTACCATGTTCTGGATCCACAGGATCAACATCATCAAAATGTCCATATTACTGGAAGTCATAATGTGATCCCCATCAAAACTTCTACAACATTCTTCTCAGAAATAGGAAAACAATATAATTCATCTGGAAACATAAGAGACCACGAATAGCCAAAGTTATCCTAAAGAATGAAAATCAAGTTGGAATCACAATTCCAGACCTCAAAACATACTACAGAGCAGTAGTCATCAAAACAGTCTGGTATTGGTACAGAATCAGAGAACATCAATAGAACAGAAAAGAAACCACAGAAGGGAGGCCATACGTGTATAACCAGCTAATCTTTATATAGAGAACTGAAAATAATCCAGGAAAAATGTTTGATCTCTTTAACAAATGTTATTGAGACAACTGGATAGCAACATGTAGAGGTAAGAAAAAGACCCCCCCCCACACACACATACACATTTGTCACCATATACAAAAATCAGCTCCAAATGGATCAAGGATCCAAAGCTTTACCCAGAAACTATCAAACTATTGTAGGAAATATAGGAAGCACTCTACAACATAAAGGCATTAGTAAAGACTTCTTAGTAAGGTCACCAAAATCATAGGTAGTCAAAACCAAAATTAACAAAAGGGACTACATCAAACTAAGAAGCTTCTGTACAGCAAAGGAAATGGTCAACAAAGTGAAGAAGCAACCAAGAGAATGGGCAAAAATATTTGCATACTACATAACACATAGGATACTCTAATATTCAGGATTTACAAAGGGCTCCAGAAACTCAATGACAGCAAAACATTAAAAAATGGGCAAAAGAAATGGGCAGACATTTTTCAAAAGAACAAATTTAAAGGGTTAATAGACATGAAAAAATGTTCCGGCTCTCTAGCTATCAGGGAAATACAAATAAAAGCCACACTGAGATTCCACCTGATTTCAGTGAAACTGGCCTACATTCAAAGATATACTAGCAACACCTGTTGACTTAGATGTCGGGAAGAAAAAAAGTGCAAGCAAGTGCAGCCACTATGGAAGTCAGTTTGGAAAGTGCTCAAACAATTGAAAGTGGATTTACCATATGACTCAACTATACCACTCCTGGGAATATATCCAAACGATGTGAAAGTTGCATATGAGGAAAAACAAGTTGCATATGAGACTCTACATTTATGGCAACACAACACAGAATAGCATAGATGTCGAAACAACACAGATGCTTGTCTAAGAGAACTGGAAAAAACTGTGGTTAATCTACTTCATGGAGTACTATGCAATCGTTAAAAAGAATAAAACTACACCATTTGTAACAAAATTATACCCACTGGAGACCATTACGCTCATTGAAATAAGCCAATTCCAAAAGGACAAACATCACATGTTCTTCCTGAGATATGGCAATGTTTATGCAAAATACCTGATAAATACATATGTAGGTGAACATGTATTTATCATCATAGATGAACTATATAGTGGAGAGTACCGTGCTGGGAAGTGAAGATACGTAGCAGTATGCATCTGTAATCCTGAATAAGAGAACTCTCAATGAAACTTAAACATACCTTGACAATAAGGTTTTCTTCCATTGCTTGTACCTACATTGTCATAATAAATTTAAATAGCAGAATATTGGACCTGTGACTGCTGCTCAAGGATTATACTACTGTGGTAATGTGGGGGAAAACACTGAGAACAGGGAGGGAGAAAAGGGGGGAGAAGAGAGGGAATCCCTCTATCTATAGAACTGCATCATGAAAAAAGAATCATGGAAAATAATATTTAAAAATGGTGGATTTACATATATGTACATTGATATGTAAGGTGACAGTAGGCATGGAATACAATGGGGGTGGGGTGGAGGAAGAAAAACAAAGTCTCCAAGACTTCAATGTCCCCAAAGTGCAAAGTCAGTTTCCACAGAGGAGTTTCCTATTCCCAGCACAAATGGGCTACACATGGAATGTCACAGTCCTCCTTCCCCATGGCTGGTACTAGGCTCATTATGGTGCCAGAAAAGAAGTGACTGGGATGGCTACATCAAATTCCATCACCATGTCAGGCTTCAGGAGGGTAAGGCATTTCTCCTCCCGGGGCTAGATCCCAGGCATCTCTCTTTGGAGCCCTGCTGGGCCAAACACCCGGATGGTATTTTAAGAACCTTGAAAATAGGCTTTACTTCCTCAGACGGCCCTATCAGAATTGTCTACGTTTTGAGCAAGTGTAGCAGAGTGTTTCTTCTTATATTGTTAGCACATAACAGTACAGAACCTTCCTGAATGTCCACAACAGAGAGACTGGGAGGTCTGGGAGATTCACAGCTGGTTAATCCAAAGACGATTAGATTTTAAATGAGCTAATCACATCCTGTGTTCATTTCTGTTTTGTCTTTTCAGTTTCTTCTTGCAGGATGCCTCACAATAACTGACAAATCAAAAAAACTTCTGGTAAGTACCTTTTGCAGTTTCTAGATAAACAAAATTCTTCTGTTTTCCTCATATCTCATTGCCTATAAAGCCTTCAGTAAGGAATGAGCCCAGGAAAATCTCCAATTTGCAGTTTGCATCATTCTTGTTTGTCAGTTTCTCTGACGTGTTGACACTGACTTCTATTTTTCTATTAAGAACACTCAGGAAGTTACTCAATTTAAGCCATTTTCACATCTCTCTAATTCATTGATTCTTAACTAAGGGGTGATGTTGTACCTCCATTTCTACCCAGGGAGGATGAACAGTTTTTGAAGATACTGTGCCTGGTCACAGTTGAGTGGGGGTGGGAGGGGTTCTGTTGACATCAAATAGGTCCCAGGGCTGTTTCTAAGCATCCTAACATGCATGCAACATGATTCTGCATTGTCATTAAAAAACAAAACAAAACAAAACAAAAAACAAATCCTCTGATCAAAAATGGGCTTCAGGGCCAAGACTGAGGGATCCTGCTGTAGTCAGAGCTGAACCCTTTTAACCAATGTTGCCACTCGCTGCTGTGCCAACCTGATGAGAAAAACACCCACTTCTGTTAGTTTGTGGATTTAATCAGATGGTGCCTGTGAACTATGCTAACACTTAATTGTTTTTGTATGCTCTGATATTGTTTAAAGTTCTGGAGGTGTAGCTTGTCTCTCCAATTCACTTTAATTCTGTGGTTCTAAGAGTCCTCTACCAGTATGCTATAGAGATAGTTACAAGCTAGGGAGAAGTGCCAGGGGGAGGTCCCCATCTCTACCTATGGAAATAAATGCGGGGAGTAGAGACGCAACTGCTTGCTCTGTATTAATGTGCTCTCAGGGCTGAGAAACGCATTAAGATTAAGACTGTTCTACCGTGGACCACTGAGAGCTGGACCAATGGAGAAAGAAAGTGTCAAACATGCAAAAGCACTAAACCGAGCACCCCATGACAGGGTCCTGTCATCGCTCTCCCAATAGCCGCAGGAGTGCTCACACTCACTTGGTCAGCGAACCCCGTTCCTTTGTAGAGGGGATAACAACAAACGTCAAGTCCATATTGGAAACCTGGGATGACAGTCAGCAAGCCTAAGGCCAGGCATGTTTCTTTGTAAGGCGCCATTTCCATGAAGTAGTGCTCACCTGGACAACTTAGTTTAACAAGTGTCCGAATGGGAATCAAAGCAGTTCCTTTGGCGAGCAAAAATTTAAGATTGAGAAGAATGTCTTTTCTGTACGGTTCTCTGCACCTTCAGTCGGTAAAGATTTGGGTTTAAGGTAAACATGAGGTCAGACGTAAACTTCTAGGTCCTGCCACACATCGCCTCCCACTGCCACAGGAAGGGTAGTGCCACAGGCTGTATAATGTATCCATCAATGTGTGTGTCCTTCCTTCCACAACAGACATAACAATAAAAAGTACAATATATAAGCGACTGATTGACACATAAGGTCTTTTTTTAAATCAATACCAGTGCTGAGAGTAAAAATGAAGAAAAAAATATGCTCCCCCTTGCATTCAAAGAAACTTAGTAATATCTACATCCTCAGCAATCAACAGATATGAATAAAGGAAATTGTTGGGTTGATCTGAGCTTCCTACGCCTTTCTTGTGGGAACAGTGAGTTCAAGAGAGGACACACTGTGTGAGTCTTCTCAGAGAATGAATCCAAGCCGCACAACACAGGCTATTATTGCTTCTTTTCCACCTTAGTATCTACAGGACCTGATGTGGTGTCCAACATATATGTGGTGATCACTCAATCTTTATTTTTTATTAAGATGGATTTATTTTTATTACAAAGTCAGGTATACAGAGAGGAGGAGAGACAGAGAGGAAGACCTTCTGTCTGATGATTCACTCCCCAAGTGAGCACAACGACCGGTGCTGAGCCAATCCAAAGTCAGGAGCCCGGAGCCTCTTCCAGGTCTCCCATGCAGGCACAGGGTCCCAAGGCTTTGGGCCATCCTCAACTGCTTTCCCAGGCCACAAGCAGGGAGTTGGATGGAAAGCGGGGCTGCTGGCATTAGAACTGGTGCTCGTATGGGATTCTGGTACGTTCAAGGTGAGGACTTTATCCACTGGGCCACTGCAGCAGGCCCATTCAATTTTTATTAATAAACAAATAATCAAATGAATAAAATTTCCAAAGTTAAGTGATGTTACTCATCATTTAGAGGCAGAAATTGAAATCTAACAAGATTGAGTAGTTTATACACGTCCCGAGGGAAAACAGGACTCAGACTCGGGTCTAATTTCCAAATCAAAATATTTTCCAACTCACCATTGTGTTTCTTGATCATGCACAACAGTGCATTGAGATAAAATGAACACTATCTTTAACATTAACCTTAGGCTTTCCTTGGGCCATTTGAAATGTTTGGTTTATCTTCTGATTTTGACCAATCAAGATTTGAAATAACGAGCTTTGCAATCATACTGACCTGATGAAGCGCTTCATCACGGGGAGGCATCTGGACAAATACAGGTACAAAGAATTTCTTAGAAATTTGTTTTATGTTTCGCTGATGTTATTGCTTGTTCAAACTGTTTTCCAGGGACTTGGCATCACAACTGTACATGTTATCAGCTGCCTGGTTGCAGTAGCCGGGATTGCTCTCACTATCCTAAGCTATCCAAAGCAACACAGATTCTGCCAAAACTACCAGCCTTCCTTTGAAGGCGTATGTGCCTTAGGTAGAATAATGCTCATGGTAAGTGGTCTTTATTTTGTACTCACACGTGTGTGTATTCTTATCTGAAATGTCTCTGTGACATAATGATTCATAAACTTATTTTTAACCATTTATGTTTATTAATATACAGACTAGATTACATATAACTCATAGACACAATTCTGATGCTCTAATGAAACCACCTCGCTCCATCCTTCTAGCCTCTCTTCCCTTCTTCCTTTCTTCTTTATTTATTCTACCCTTTTTGCCATAACATTATTAACTTACGTTATAGTCACAGCTTAATGCTCCACTAAGTAAAGACTTCGACAAATAAAAAGGCGAAAGCTCATTGTTCAGGAAGAATGCAGACAAGGGCTAAAAACAGGAATGAAATACCAAAATGTCAGTTTTACTTGTATACATTAAAGTTTTCATGCTTTCTACATCAATTATCATAAATTCAAGAAAACATGTGACACGGGTCTTTTGGAGTCTGACTTGTTTCACTAAGCTTAATGGCCTCCAGTGACATCTATTTGGTCGCAAAAAATAGAATTTCATTCTTTTTATAGCTGAGTAGTCCTCTGTAGTATATAGATACTTTATTTTATCCAGTCATTAGTTAAAAAAAAATTTTAGGTTGATCAAATGAGCTATGGTGCCTTTAACTGCTATAGACATAGGGATACAGATAACTCTTTTAAGTATCATATGCTGATTTTATTTTTCTTGGGTATATTTTCAGGAGTGAAATGACTAGATCATAGTATAAATCTATTTTTAGATATGAGAAATCCCTACTGTCTTCCACAATAGCTATACAGGTTTCCATTCCCACCAACAGTGTAATAGTTCCCATTCATTGATTCACTCTCTAAATTTCTGCAAATGCTTGGTGTGTGGACAGGCTGAAGCTGCAAATAGGAACCTCAATCTGGATCGTGCACATGGCCAGCTAACACTAATGCGGCCATCAGTTGGTGTCTCTCAGGGTCCACACTGACAGGCAGCTGGAATTGGGAGCAGTCAGAACCCAACACCAGACACTTCCAAGCAGGTGCTCCAAGTGTCCTCTTAAAATCTAGTTAAAATCAAGTTCCAGAGCCTGATGGATTACCTTTTACTCCAGTCGTTAATACTGTATCAGCATCTGAACTTGTGGTTGTGAAGTCCATTGTGAGATGATGGTTAAGATGGCTCAGAGGACATCCAGCCTGGATTTTAACCCTAGTTTTGCCAGGAATAAGTTTGTGACATTGGCCTAAGATTTATGCATTATGAGCCTCAGTTTTACTTAACTAGGAAATGAAGAAAATATGAACACCTACCTGATAGATAGTGCCATTGTGAGGATTGTTACATTAAAATAATATGTTACCAGGAAAACAGAAGTTCCCAGGATTAGGGAGAAACCAGGTGTCCTATATAGCTGGGTTGTTGGTGGTGGTAATCTTGCTGGAACCTTTTGGCTGTTGGGTCTGAGAGCCACATGGACTTATTTTGACCAATAACATGCCATAGTCAGTATTATTTTCCTCTGGGCCCAGTGCAACACACTGAGCTCAGTGAGTTCTCATCAAGTTCAGCACATGCACAGCACATTGTTGTCCCCTGCAGTCTTAAATTCTTTGCCACACTTTAAGAAACGGTGTTTGATGTGCCACTACTTGATCTGTTGGCCATCAGGTCTGAGGGCTACCTGGACATATCTTGGGTGGAACCTGTAGAATGACACATTATTGCACTTTGTTGAGCCAGAAATGAGTTCACTCCCAGCTCAGTGCACATGCAATACTGTCCAATATTCCTTGCCTCCTTAAACAAAATGGCACCCAATATGGCTCTAGTTGGCAGACTGGGTTGTGAAATCCACCCTGTTCCTGCACTGCTTGTCTCTGATCTGCTGCTCTGACTCTGCTCCTGGTCAAATCAAACAGACCAGCAGGATGGGCAGTTCTTTGTCTGGGTTCACCTCCCAAGCTCCCAGTCAAAGTCCCTTCCCACCTGATTGCTGGTGGAGTTCCAGCTGCCAGTTGGAGTTTAGATCACCATTTGCTGAATTCTGCTGAGGTATCAGTCACTGCAACATCATATCATTGTTTTCACTGCTTTCCTGTGTCTGTCAGTCTCCGGGTACCTCTCTGCTGTTGTTCTGTCCTCTCTTATTTTCTGGAATGTGCTCTCTCTGCTTCATACTGGTTAATGCTTCTCCGTCCATTTAAATGTGCCCTTACCCTATTCTTCCATCTTGATTTCTTCCCAGTGTTTCTTGATAGCACTTCATAAAATAAAATAAATTAGCATCTATTTGTTACTGTTTTCCCTACTGTTATGTAAATTCCACAAAGGATATAATAAGTGTATTTTATTCAGTGATGGAAGCCAGTATACTGCATAGAGTAAGATCTTCTATTTCAGTCTTACCAAGAAATGCTAAGTATCCAAGCTTTCTAATGCGTTTCAGGGAAAGTGAGACTCAGACAGACTCTCTTATATGCTTCAGGTCAAGTGTGATCTTGAACGCAGTTGCACCCAAATTTTTGTCTCCAAAATTTATGTTCTTTGCATATCATACTATAAACCATGTCGCTTCTCACTACAAACATTACCCATAAAGCAGAGTGAGAAAAATGGCAAACTGCAAACTGTATTTAAACTGAAGATATGTTATATTTGACTTACAAAAGAGAATAAATAACATCATAAATAATCTCAGTATTCACTGATATCCAGCTTACTTAGGAAAAAACGGATATTCAGCATGGGATCATAGTCCTGCATGGCAACAGTGTGCTGGAATTGATTGATAGTTGTTTACTATTAATTTTGTCACTATCCACTGTCTCCTTGATTTGCTCAATATGGTTTCCTGGCTCCATAAGCTTTGGAGTTTGTTTGCCCTGACCTTATAAAAACACAGAGTCAAGTATTAGACCCAGCAGTGAAGACCCATCTTGCATCAGAATGCCCAAGTTAGATTATCTGCTCTTGCTTCCAATGACAAATTCCTCCAAATACAGACACCGAGAGATTGCAGATGATGGCTCAAATAGTCAAACAGTATCCCCATGGGAGACTTGGATTGTTCCCCACCGCGTAGCTCCAACTCCGGCCCCAGCCAATACAGTCTTTGATGACAAGTGAACCAGTGGGCCTCTCCTTCTCTCCCTCCATTTCAAAAAATAAAGAAAAGAGAGAAAGGAAGGAAGGAAGGAAACAAGGAAGGAAGTAAGGGAGAAAAGAGGAGGAGGAAAGTAAGAAAGGGAGGAAGGGAGTGAGAGAGAGAAGGAAGAAGGAAATAAAGAAACATAAAGGTGAACAATTTGCAATATCCCATGACAAAAGCACCCAAAGTTGGCATTTGAGTATAAGAGGTTTGGGAGATATATCTTCAAATGAACATAGCTTCATTCCAAATGTCATTTCTTCCTTTTATTTTCAGGGAATTCTTTCAATTTTACTGATCATTAGCATAGTAGAGCTCAGCATCTCTGTGAGTGTCGCATCCCTTAGAGCCAAGTGCTGGATGAGATCAAATGAGGTGAGTCTAATGTTGGTATAAGAAGGTATTCCTTCTGGCACATTCAAAAGTTACATACTTTTGAAGTATCAGAAGAAGGTGTGCTTGGATGCTGAAATAAAGCTCTAAAATTGAAGAAGGTTGGGATGGAGGCAAGTTTAAAAGTTGAAACTCACCTTATCTTTTAAAACAATTGTGCTTTCCTTTCTGGCTCAATTGTCTATCCCTAGCCATGTCTGTTCAGTCACAGGATATTTTTTTTTTTGTCAAAATATGTTAGCCATCAGATGCAATGAGAGTTTATAGTACTGTGACACAATGGAGCTTTAATGTGACTCAGATGTGACACAAATGGAGGTTTTTACTCAGGTCATAAAAAAAGCTTGGGACAATTTCCTCACCATTGAGGAAGTAGAGGAAATAACATTGATGCTTATTGATTATTTATAATACTAGTTTATACTTACTGAATATGTAGTACTGAATACTACATCAGTCATTGTTACAGTCTGCGAGCATCAGCTTATTTAATCTTAGCACGACCACAGAATTCTCAGATGTGAAGGAACTAAGTTACAAAGAGGTTAAATAATCTCTATAGTATCACAATTCTAACTGGGCTAGCATATCTCCCGAGTCCCAAAAATCAACCCAGACCTTCTGTTAGGTGGTTTTTCTTTTTCTTTCTTTGCTTTAAATTAACTTTAAAGAAGTGTGATTTAAAAACATTACTATACATCTGTTTTAGTGAGTTCTAACAAATATAAATAATATCAATGGTATCTGTAGTTTTATTCTGTACCTTGAACCTACATGGATTCTTTTGCCAGCTCTAGTAGCCTTCTTGTAGATTTTTGAGCTTTTGGGAGGTTCATATTGTCTGTAAATAGTTTCATCATTTCTAAATTTATTAGGGGTTTATTTTTTTTTTCTTGTCAGTGAAACTACCTAGAATTTCTTGGTAATCCTGAATTCCAGTGTTGAAATTAGACATTCTATTTCCTTTTTTATTTTAGGGAGAAAGATTTTCTTGTTTCACTATTGGATATGATGCCTAACAAAGTACCCCATGGTATATATTCGTACCACAATACCAGCCGTCAGTTGATTCCCTTTCTTAGCTATTGTGAATTGAGCTGCTACAAATAAGCGAGTACAGATAACCCTCACATATGTTGCTTTCACTTCATTCAGATAAACTCCCAGGAGTGGGATGTGGGAGTCACATGGTAGATCTGTCTTCAGATTTCTGAGGCACCATCTATCTTCCATATTGATGACACTAATTCACATTCCCACCAACACTCCCCCAACATTCCCACCAGCAATGACTGCTTTCTGATTCTGTTTGATAGCCACTCTAAATGGGGTGAGGTAAAAACCACAAGGTGGATTTTATCTGCATTTCCCTAATGGCTAGTGATCTTGAGCATTTTTCATATCTGTTGGACGTTTGAATTTCAGCCTCTGGAAAATGCCTGTTTATATTGTCCATATCTTAGCTGCATTTTATTTGGTTGTTATGGTTGACTTTCTTGAGCCCTTTCTAGATTCTGCATATTAATTGTGTAACAGTTGCAATGTTTTCTCCCATTCTGTCAATTGCTTTTTCACTTTAATGAGGACATCATGGCAGTGCAGAAATTTTCAGCTCGATATAATCCCATTTTTTCTTTGCCTTGATTTCTGGAGCTTTGAGGGTATTTTCCAAGAAGTCTGTGCATAGCCCAAGGTATTGGAGAGTTTCCCCAATATCTTCCCTTAATAATTGGCTGTATCTGGTCTCATATTTGGCATCTTGATCCATTTGGAATTAATTCTTATATAAAGAGTAAGGTCGGGATCTTATTTCTTACTTCTGCATGTGGAGATTCAATTTTTCCAGCATCATTTTTGCATATTCTCTTTCCATGGACTGCTTTTAGCTCATTTGTCAAAAGTCAGCCAATTGTAGTTGGGCGGATGTATTTCTGGGGTTTCTTTTCTGTTCCATTGATCCACATGTCTGCTGTATGTCCATGGAATGTCACCTAACCATAAAATAGAATAAAACCCTATCTTTTGCAACTATTTTGCTTAGTGAAATAAACCTGTCCCCAGAGGACAAGTATCATGTTTTTCATGATCTATGGTAGCTGATACACAGAGTGCAAAAAATGAAATCTAGAGAAGCAAGATAATATAATAATGGTGTAATAAAACAACTTTAAAAACATCTTTGTGTTTCTGTACTAACTGTTTTCTCTACTTGCATTTTTGACCCCTTCCAAAGGCCAAACTAACTGTCCATGTTGTATTCTTCCAAACTGGGGATCAGGTAAAATGGACCCATTGGGCCTACTCCTAAGAGCCCCTACTGAACTGGTCACCAGTCCTGGTTAATGTTTATTAGTGGGTACTGTGACCTGCTTGGAGCAGCCCCCTAGAACTCCAACCAGGCCCATGTGCCAACAGGTGCTGTGTCCCAGCTCAGCCTATACCCATACTTGCCTCCTATCTGTACCAAAGAGTGCTACAGCATAGTTAGTGAGGCCCTTGTGCATTCCCTGACCTAGTTCTAATATGTGCCAGTAGGTATTATAGCCTAGCCCAGCCCTCAAACCGCCCTACATTTCATAGGCACTGGTAGCCTGACACACCCACCAGACCCTATAATTTCTTGTGTTGGCAGCTGCTACAGCCTACCTGGGGAGCTCCCTGAGACCTTCTTGCATGTCCCACCTCCAGACTTGGCCCTAACATGTACCAAAGGGTACTACAGCCTAGCTCAACCTGGCCTGCCCCTAGACCTGGCTCTCTCATTACCAGTGGGTGATGTTGCATAGTGGAGTCTTATCTGGCTTGTCTCCAGATTTGGCTCACATTTGCCAACAGGTGCTACAGCCTAGCCCAATCTAGCCTGCCTTGAGCCCAGGCTCTTGCATACACCAGTGGGTACCATGCCTTAGCATGGGGCATTCCTAAAAATTCCCTTCCAGGCCCACTGCCAACTTCAGTTCTTTCACATGCTGGCAAGTGCTGTGGCCCAGCCTGGACTCACCTGCCCCCAGCCCTGACACTTGCCAGTGACTATGTGGCCTATTTGGAGTATTATCAAAAAAATTACCTGCAAGTGCAACGGCCTGGTCCACGTAAACTCCCAGAAATCTTTTTTATGTATGTCAAACAAGATTTCAGTGGTCCACATGCAGATCCATCCACAGTCCCCCAGACCCTGCCAATGCACACCTCCCCACTACCACTCATGTCCTTGGCTGGTGTAGGCCCACAGTGGCATACTGGGCACTCTGCCTCCTTCCCTCACCCCAGATCTTTAAAAAAAATAGAATAGTCAACTATGCTGGTACATTGGTATAGTTAACACAGAGTTGACATTAACCATGCCCAAAATGCCTGCTAGCTATTGGCTTTTCTCTGAGCAGTGTAACACCTGCCTAGGTACAAGGCTACTTTGGCAGTTGCCTATAGCTTGGGGGTTGGCTTTGATTCTTAATAGTTGCTTCATCTAACTGTCAATCTATCAATATAGATTAAATCTGAATGCATGAATTTTGACCGGGCAATTTAGAATATTTTAGAAGCTTTATAATATAATAGGAGCAATATGTGAAGAAATAGTAATTATATTACCTGTTCAAAATTTGAGATAAGAGATAAAAACTTGCCTTAAATAACACCAATTGAAAATAATAATAAAGGCAAGATTTACACTTGTGTTTTGATTCCTTAACTAAATGTCATTTCCTATAATGTGTGTGTGTACTGTATTTAGTCATAGATAAACCTGTTCAGGGGGGCTACATAAATAATATTGGAGATGATTCTGTCATACTAATTTTTCTCCCACCCCTTGGTTTTGTAGGTTGTGTTTTTCTTGCCTGCAGATATTACTCAAAATAGTGAACAGTCTGCTACTCCAGAAGAAAATGTTCAACTAAAATTTGAGCTTCAAAATGATTCTATCAGTGAGGATGCAACAAAAACAGAGATTGTTTTCTTTGGAAGCTATGCTTTTTTCAAGTTAAAAGTCTCAAGGATTACTTCTAGCTCCCCACCCACGTCACAACCACATCCAACAGATAGAGATGATTATGAGACAACTTCTGGTTCTGTGCCAGATATTCCCCTATCATTTAAGTTTTTAGGGGAAGAAAATAAATTAAAAAAATTGTCTCCCATATTAGAGAAAAAGATCTCAACTGAGAAAAAGAGCTCAGATGATATAATATATGCTCAGCCAGATTTTACAACCGGGCAACAAAAAGATAAAGAGATTGAATATGCTTCAGTACAACACCCACAAATGCAATTACAGTTGCTGAAGGATGAAGATTTACCAATCAAAAATTTTCTAATTGATTCTGTACAAAATCCCCAAACTTTTCCACCAAATGATTTGCCATCCCAAGCTCTGATAGTACAACAAACACCAGGAAAAGGCTTGCTCAATAACTCTCCACCATCCCATATAATAGAATCTTATGACTTGACATCTGAAGACTTGCCCTTCCAAGATATACCGTCCATAGACAAACTATCCCAGGACACAAAATCCCAGGACATGCAACTTACAACTAAGTCATCCCAAGACACACCATCCCAGCACATAATATCTGAAGAAATGCAATATGGAATTGTGCCATCACAAGATATATGGTCCCAAAATTCAAAATCCCAAAGCAAATCATCCCTTGACAAGTTGACCCAAAACATGCCATTTCAAGACGTAACTAAAAGCACATCCCAAGACACATTGTCACAAAATACACCTTCTCAAGACATGACATTTCAAACACTTTCAACACATGTGCAGATTTCTAGCACACAACAGCTGTCTGAGCAATCCCCAGATCATCAACCACAGAACGTACAAGCTCAAAAGCAGCGATCTTCACAAGTTTTGTATCAAGACATTCAATCAGAAGTGTCGGAACTAACCCAAGGATGGAAATCTCTAGAGCAACTTCATGGCAGGAAATCCTCAAGACGGCATTCCTCAGACTGGCAGAGCAAAGAGGAGCAGTCCCCAAGGAGGCATTCTTTAGAACTACAATCTAAAGGCTCACCACCTGCAAAGCGAAAATCTATAGACCAACAAATCAAAGGTTGGCTATTCCCAAGGAGACATTCCGTAGATAAGAAAACCCAGTATACTCAGACATCAGAGCAATTGTCAGAGCAGCAAACTGAGGATCAGCAGGCCAAGGTGGGGCAGTCCTCAGATAGGGAAGGGGACCAAGTCCCAAAAGAACAATTCAGTGACAGGCAAAGTGAAGATCAATTAGCTGCTAAGAAGCAAACTCAGGGTCGACACACAGAAGACCAGTGCGGATCACCCTCAGGCTCACAATTTCTTGAAGAGCAACCTCCAGAATGGACAACTCAGAACTGGCAGTCTTCTAATCAGCAGAATCAAGACTGGAGAAAGAACAACTGGCAAAATAAAGACTGGAAAACACAAGAATGGCAGTTTGAAATGCAGCCTTCCCTAAACTGGGAACCCCAAGCCAGGCAAACCCAAGATCAGTTAGAGGAAGAAACCCTGAAGCAGAAAGCTCTACAACAAGAAGACCAGACTCAGCACACCATGAAAAGATATTACTTTGGTCAGCAATCACAGCATTTTCTGTGTCAAGACAGTCAAAACCAAGATAAGAACCAGCAAAACTTTCTATTCAGATTTACAATGAAAGAAGATACACAAACAGAAAGGATGCAAATAACAGATAACCAACTAGCAGACACGAAATACAGAGACCAACAACTAGTGGACTTGCAATCAGAAGACATGAAGCCAGATTGCCACCCTTCTTCCTCCCAAAGCTTAGAACAAGACACATGTCTAGCTTACTCTTCCAATATAGGTTCTGAACAAGATGTGCAACAGAACACTTCAGTTTGCTCAGATTCATACAAAGAAGACCTGAATTTCCTTTCATCCTCTTGTCATTCAAAAGAGCAACAGCAATCAGAAGAATCTGACTAAAATGCAGAGTCCACCAAGTACCACATAACATCAATAATGAAACTGAATGAACAAAAACCCAAATTGTCTCCTCTAATGTGTGTGCACAACTCTGATTGCTTCACCAGAAAATCAAGGACAAGCGGAACACTCAAAGAGGTTGTCCTTAATTGAAATAAATGACATCAAACCAAATGTTGATGCTATTGTTTTTACAACTTTGTGGTGGTGTTGGATAGGTGGATAACTCATGTGTCCACTTGTTTTCTTTTGTGAGGTGGAGAGAGACAGACAGACCTCCCATCTGCTGGTTCACTCTCCAAATGCTCACAATGTCCAACACTGGGTCTCACCAAAACTGGTTGCTGAAAAATCCAGATGACCCATGTGGGCGGTGGCAGGGACATGACCACCTGACGGTTCTGAGAGGCAGCAGGGTGTTAGAAAGCTGGAAATCCAATTCATACATTCATTGTCATTCCTTAATTACACAGATACTCAACACATATATACATATGTACATAGATGTCCAAGGATCTTGGGAGTGAAAATAGTACCAACAGAAAGAGTTTCTGGCATCAGTGATTAATCCATGCCAGTAACCACAAAAAAAGAATGGGCACAATTCAAACATGCTCTATTTATGTTGTGGTCTTGTTGCTTCTACACTACACATAGAATGTGGGGATTTGACTGCCCACAATTGGCCATATTTATAACCTAGAATTACAAGTTGAGAACGAGAAAATCTTTCCTTCTAAGGTCTTTCCATTCCTTTGGAAATAATACGAGGAAGCAAGTCAGAAGTATTCTGAGAGCCCACTGTCACTTTTCCAATTTACAAGAATCCCTCTCTGTTTTCAAAAGCGCTTTCACTCACCCCACTCTCTTTTCTCACATATCTAATTCTGTCTTTTTCTTTTTCCTATGTGATACTTTCCAATCCCAAACTCTCCAATGATTTTCAAAACCTTAGCACATGGTTTCATTGTTCAAATCTTGCAAACTTTTCTCTTTTTCAATTTTCTATAAAAAGAAAAAAAAAAGCAATTTGTAGGTAAAATTTTCAGAACATAATAATACCTCCCTCTACACCTTTCCCACTTTTTAAACTTTTGCAATATTTTCAATTTATAAGTGTAGAGCTCCACCAAAACAAGTATTTCAACAAGGTAAAAGTAGAAAGGACACTTTTCAACAGAAACATACACAGGGGCTAAAAAACAATAATCACATACCCAAATTTCAAATACACACACACACACATATACTCACCCTTCCCCCAGCACCCACATATTTGTACTCTATATATTAACTACCACAAATCAGAGAAAAATGTGAAATTTGTCTTTTTGGGTCTGGTTTGTTTAGCTAAGCGTAATGAATTCCAGTTGCACCCATTTTGCTGCAACAGACAAGATTTCATTCCTTGTATGCTTAGTAATATTCCATCATGCATACATACCATGTTTTCTCTATGCAGTTTCAGTTGGTGGACTAGCGGTTGTCAAAACCACCCGATATCTCAAGCTAGACAAGACAGTTTATTTTCAACATCCCTAACGTTTTGACTATGTAGCTATACCTCTAGTTCCTGTCTCACCCTGAGCATTTTACTACTAAATTATCTACTCTTTTATGAGATCTACTCTTTTATAAATTCCTAGGTCAAACACTTAGCATTTATTATTTTACTCTTTCATGCTGGAAATAGAGGAAGAGGAGTAGTCATTTCTTTCTAGTTAGATATTAGTGTTCTCCAAAAAAATAGAACCATGGATGGATGGATGGATAGATAGATAGATAGATAGATAGATAGATAGATAGATAGATAGATAGATAATTAGAGAGAGAGAGACTTATATGAAATTGGCTCATAGCGTTACAGGGCTGAGACTTCCCAAGGTCTACAACCTGGAGACTGAGGAACGCTCACAGTATATTTCTAATCCAAAGACCTAAGAACCAGAATATCCAGTGCTGCAAGTGCCAGCCTGGTACCCATATGCACATCCTTCAACCACATTTTACCTCTAAATAGAGATAGATCAAGTCTGTCTAACATCATGCAACTATCATGCAGGCAAAAAAAAATTCACTAATCAATTTTCTATATGACAGGGTAATGTCAATGGGTGGTGTTTACTCTTAGTATATCATAACTTAGGCTATATGATATAAAATAATACATGAATATTGATATAATAATACTGATGTAATAACATATAACACATGTGTTATATATTATATGTTACACATAAAAATAAGATATAACACATAAGTTGCATGACAAGAGATTAAAAAAACATTGCATATAATATATAGTTTCTGTAACTATGTGCTTCTAACCAGCATTTTAGCAAGTAATATTGTGGCTATAATTTGGATCTCTTTTTTCACATTTTACATTTATTATTATTACTGTGATGATGATTATTTTTTGATACAGTTCCATAGGCTCCTGGTATTTCCCTTATCCCAGCCACAATACCCCCCACACCTATATCATTATTAAAGTATAGTTCTTCATACACAGTCATATGTCCATCATTGCGGGCATGGACAATGGCAGAGAGTCCAGCATCCTACTGTAAAGATACACTAAATAGTTTCATTGTAAGTCCATCTTTGGAAGTAGAAATGCATACTATATTGTATCCACACATCTGGATATGTTAGTCTCCATTTCACTGCTACTGTACATCCCCCTCAAATGAAAAGTCATGATACAAAATCAAAAATAGGAAAAAAAATAGAAATTTACAAAGTTATGAAGTTAAATAACATGTTACTAGATATGACAGTCTCCATTACACAGCTACTATACATCCCCTCTGAGAGAAAAGCCACAAAATAAATTCAGCATCAGGAAGAAAATGAAATTAACAATGCCATGAAGTTAAATAACATGCTACTAAATGACTAACGTATAGCTGAAGAAATGAAGATCAAGAACCTTCTAGAAGAAAATGATGCTTCTGTATGATCTATGAGTCACTGAAGAATTTAATCAGAAGGAAGCATTTTGAAGAGGTGAAACTAACATAAACATCAAAACCCATGCGATATAGTTTCCGCTGATTTTTGTTGGAGAAATGAATCTCTTCTAGACAACAAATAGATGCATTTTGTTTTTTAATCCAGTATACTAAACTATGATGTTTGATTGAGCTTAAGTCATTCACACTCAGGAATAATATAATGGGTGGCACTTTGGTCCTGTCATTTGAGGAATGGGTTGTTCATTGGTTTAGTCTTCTGTTGTCATTTTATTGGGATGTTCTTCCCATTTGCCTTTGGTTTTCATGAGTGCTATTCCTCTTCTCTGTGAAGAGAACATCTTGAAGTATCATTTGTAGGGCAGGTTTGGAAGAGGCAAATTCTTTTAACTTTTCTTTACTGTGGAAAAATTTTATTTTATTTTTAAACACAAAAGAAAGCTTTGCTGGATGTTATCCTAGGCCAACAATTGTTTTCTTTTAGACTCTGGAATACATAACAACATTCTCTTCTTGCCTGTAGAGCTTCCTGTGAGAGGTTTCTGAGTTTAATTGGTATTCCTTTATATGTCAATTGATTTTTTTCATGTGCACATTTCAGGATCTTTATGTTCAATTGAAGAGAGCTTGATTATCATGTGTCTTGGTGAGGAGGGCTTTTGATCAATCCTGTTGGGAGTTCTGTGCCTCTTTTGGATCATGTTTTCCAATTCTTTTTCTAGATTAGGGAAATTTTCCTTTATTAGTTCATTAAATATATTTGCAAACTCAGCTTCTCTTTCTGCACCTTCTGGGACTCCCATAACTCTTATTTTAGGCCTCTAAATAGTGTCTTTCAATTCTTGAATACTATTTTTGGCCTGATCCAGCTCTGCTTCCAGCTTTTTGTTTGCTTCCCCGTGATGACAGGAAATACCTTCCAATTCTGAGATTCTTTCTTCTGCTTGCTTCATTCTGTTTTGGAGACTCTCCACTGCACTTTTAATTTGCTCTATTGTGTTCTTTATTAATGATATATCAGCCTTGATATGATTTATTGCTGCTGTTGCTTGTGTAAAATACTCCTTAAATTCTTTGAACTCTTGTATGTGCTTCTCATTGTTGATCAGAAGCTTTGAAATGAGTTTTCTGAATTCTGTGTCCCACATATTCTTGATGTGTTCCTCAGTGAACTCTGAATTTGGCAAAGAGTTTTGCTCCTTTGTAGGGGAGTCTTCAGTAATATTCATTGTGCTTTTGTCTCTTCTTTTGCTCTTGGTCATTGTACTTCTGGTTAGCAGATTCTTTTCCTTGGGGCAGGTTTCTAAGCTGTATCACCCACAAGTCTACAGTTTGATTTTACTTATTGCAGTTGGTACACAACTCTTTGCTTGCAGCCAATTGTGCCACTCCCTCCAGCAAGTTCCAGGTCTGGGTTCTTGTGTTAGATTTGCACCCTGGTCTCCACAGCCCCAACTCCTGGCTCACCAATCTCCACCTCCTGTGATACTGTGCGGAGGCTGCATCATTGTTTGTACAACCTTTCTCCTACTTCCGGTTGCGGCAGGTCCCAGGATTAGGTAGACACCAGGTGTCCTATGTAGCTAGGTTGTTGGTGGTGCTGATCTTGACAGAACCTGTTGGACGTTAGGCCTGGGTACCACACGGACCTATGTTGACCTGTACGATGCTACAGTCAGTATTATTTTCCTGTTGGAACAGTGCAACCCACTAAGCTCAGTGAGTTCTCGCAAGCTCTGCACATGCGCAGTTCACTGTTGTCACCTGCTGGCCTAAAGCTTTTGCCACACTGCACACAATGGCGCATGACGTACCACTACTAGAATTCTTGATATGCTTGCGTCAGGTCTGAGGGCTACCCAGACCTGTCTTGGGTGGAAATGTAGAATGCCACATTGATGCAGTTCACTGAGTCAGAAATGAGCTCACTCCCAGCTTGGCGTATGCTAAGTCATTTCCCTTGCTTTCACCTCCTTCAGCAAAATGGTGCCCAGTCAGCTCTAGGTTGCAGACTGGACTGTGAAATCCACCCTGTTCTTGTAACTGCCTGTCTTGGATCTGCTGCTCTGTCTCTGCTCCTGGTCAAATCAAATAGACCAGCAGGATGGATAGTTCTTTGTCTGGGCTCACCTCCCAAGCTCCCAGTGAAAGTCCCTTCCCACCTGGTTGCTGGTGGAGTTCTGGCTGCT